GGAAGACTTACCTTGAGTGGCGAGACGGCGCTTGATGGATTCGGCGATGGCGTCGGAATCGGGGAAAACGGAAGGGGTTAAACGGCTGGATAGAATGCGGAAAGCGTAGCGAAGAGATTGAGAGAAATGAGGATGGTTGGGCGTTGGGTTTTGGGGGTTTTGTTGAGAGAGTAAGCGACGAACAAGCTCCATTACTAGATCTGTGACTTTGCGTTGATCTTCTTCTTCCATTTCTGAAAGTGTGAATTTCCTTTTCTTTCTTCTCTTCAAGTACGAGATTCTGGGAAAGGAAAATCTGGTTTAAGGGTTTTTATTTAATTTTATATGTGCGGCAAAACAAAAACACACACACAAATGGAGCTTCCTTCATTTTTCTTCGTTTTCTAATTCAAAAGGTTTTTATTTCCTCTGTTTTTTTTTATCATAAATTAAGTGAGATAATAACATCAAATCATTTTTAATCAATTAAAGAGTTAATTACATTATATGCACTCAAGCTATGACTCTCATACTAAATTAGTCCCCAAACTTTTGAACATTATGATTTCATCCCTAAACTATGACTCATTTTAAATTAATCTGTAAAATTTTAAATATTCTAAGTCCATCCTTAATCTATGACCCTCGTTCTACGTTGATCTCCAAACTTTTGAGTATTCTAATTTTATTCCCAAATTTTTGAATTATTTAGGGGGAAGTTATTGGAATGTTTAAAAGTTTGGGGACTAATTTAGAATGAGTGTCATAGTTTGAGGATGGATTCTGAATGTTTAAAAGTTTAAGGACCAACTTCAAATGATAGTCATAGTTTAAGGATAAATTTAGAATATTTAAAAGTTTAAGTACAAATTTAAAATAGGATAAATACACCATTCCTCGTTGAAATTTACTCTCCCCTATATTACTCACCGTCTTTCAATTTTTCTTATTTACTTACTGAATTTTTGAATTGTTTCTATTTTTGAATTTTTTTTATTACTATTTAATATAAAAATAATTTAAAATAAGTAATAAAATAATATTTTACCACCTCCATGATATCATGCTTGATGTCTACTTGGTGAAAAAGCAAGAGTGCGACAAGTTCAATAGCTTGATTGATGGAGCCTAATTGATCAAAAGACATCAAGAAAAAAACATGGTTTACGTTGAACAGTGCGACTGGTGTTGTAGCTTGTCTAGCCGTCGCCATGAATGTACCAACAATGGAGCATGGTAGCACAACGACGTACGATGTAGATTCGAGCACGTTGTCGTTTTATCAAGGAGGCACGCCTGGAGGAGAAGCCATTACCCTTTCTCGAGAGGCCTTAAGTCCATGGTTGTATTACAGTCAAGATATAAGAATTCACATGTTTTGACCCATCCCTGACGACAGTCTTGGATTGTAACTCGTTTTTAAGACAAGTTATCTCGAATTTATCTGTTTGCTGCGATAGAAAGAAAAGGGAAGAGTGTTGACTCGTTTCTAAGACAGTCTTGATAAATATCATTGTCACTACGTGATTTCTACAGATGAAGCTTCTTGAGGAAGAAGAGAAGGAAAAGCGTGAAGAAGAAGAACGCAAGGAGAGGAAAAGAACGAAAGAACGTGAGAAAAAGCTTAGGAGGAAGGAGAGACTGAAAGGAAAAGAGAGAGAGAGAGAAAAGAAATCTGCTGGAAGTATAACTCCTGTTTGTCCTGATATGGCGAAGGAAGATTCTTCAACTGTCGGGGTTGCTATTGCTTGCAGAGATTCTGCGAGTGAGACAGGTGATATTATAGTGTCTGGACCTGGTTCTCCAGATGTTCAAGCAGACCAGTTTTTAGATGGGAATTCCACTTCAAGTTTGCAGAATCACTCTTTTGATAGTTCTGATGGAGAAGGTACAAAGATAAAAGATGGGAATGGCACCTTTTTAATGGAACAATCAAAATTTTCTCGTCGGAGATTGAAATTTCACAAGGATGGTCAGCTCGATCCCTCCACTAAACGGTCTGATCGATGTCAGTTTGCTGTTGTTTCAGAAAGTTCTCCTGTTAATAGATCTGAGCCACGACATCAAAGTGAAAACTTTGAGGCTTCTTCAAGGAACTTCAATGGATTAAATAGGCAATTAAGGATAAGCAACGCAAAGTCCAATGGTCGGAATGGTAGTGTTAAGTATACCGAGAAATTCCGGTGTTCCAATGGCTGGAGTGATAGATATGGCTTTTACTCCTGCAGCTGCAGCCAACACAATGAATACAGAGCCAAGATTGAGCCACATATGTCTGCAACTAGAGTTGGTCAAGAGCCCAAATCTGTGAACAAGACAGAATCTGCTGCAACTTTGTTAATTCTTCCAGTAAGGCGTGTTCAAGTGAAGCTAGTGCAAATTTGGGTGAAATTGATCATGAGCGTAGCAAGGTTAATAGTTCAAGAAGCTCCAACCATGCAACAAATAATGACTGTCACGTGGAAACACAATCAATGTTCTTCACTTAATTCTGGGTGTGAGGAAGTTGGAATTTTTCGCAACAGAAACCCTACCTTGAATGGTATTCCTCATTCTACGATTAGTAGAACTTCTAATTCTGATAACTTCTGTTCATGCATTAGTGAAGGAGATAGCAATACCTCCTCTTCACATCATGGAAATTTTGAATCTTCGTCAGCATCAGATAGGAGAGACACTTCAATCTGCATTCAAAATGGCTTCTCTGAGTTTCAGGTGAGAGGAATGGATAAAAAGCAGGAAGTCAAGGAAGGCATTGTTTGGACATCCACCGGATGGTACTGGGAACAAAGCTCCCGGAAATCCGCCTAAGAAAACTGCCGAAAATTCTGATAATGGAAAACCAACTGCCTTTATGGGTTCTCAGCATCAAGGCATGTTTGCATCAGTGCATAGCCAACACGTAAAGTTTCCAGTGTTTCAAGCTCCTTCAACCATGGGTTACTACCATCAGAATCCTGGTTCTTGGCCAGCACCTCCATCTAATGGTTTAATGCCTTTCCCTCCTCCAAACCCTTATCTTTATACTGGCCCTCTTGGCTATGGTCTAAACGGAAACTCACATTTATGCATGCCATATGGAACTCCGCAGCATTTAGCTGCTCCACCGTTTAACCCCGGTCATGTTCCAGTTTATCAGCCAGTTTTAGAGGCCAGTGGCTTGTACGCAGAGGAGAGAACCCAGATTCCCAAGCCTTGTACAACAATTGAAGCTTTCACCGAATGCAACACACCGAGGGTCGTTCCCGGCAGGCTGCATGCAACAACAGAACAAGCAGCAAACGGAGAAGGAAGAATGTTTAGATTATGTTTTCTTGGGATTCATTTGGATTTTTTTGGTCATTTTGTTTCAGTTTCTTGAATGGTTTGCTTCAGATCGAATATTAACATGTTTAGATTCCACTTACCGATCGAGGTTTTACATTTTTAAGGTAAACGTTTGGATTTAAACTCACACCGGACGGATAATATGAGCATCCTTATCACTCAGTCAATTAATGGATCTTATTTTTATTAATTTGGGTTAAGTACAAGTCAATATATGTTCAAAGATAACTCTTAATCGTTTAACATTGAACGCTCAAACCCTAACATTCTTGATGCTTGAACTCGAGACCTCAAGAATAACAACAATTCTTTTATCACCGAACACGCTTGGTTCGCACCAATAAATATACTTTTAAAATTTTTCCCTTTATACGTATACGTTATCGATAGACTACAAAATAATTGAACAAATATTATCTCGTGAATTTGGCATACGAACTTGAAATAAGTTTATAATGCTTTTATCTCTTTATATGGGATTAAAATAAGGAATTTAGATTACTAAAATTTCCTTTATTAAAATTAGCTGACCCTATTCCCATATGTAATGAGGTAAGGGGAGGTAGGGTAGTAGGCTGCCCCCAACAACAGGTTGAGAGCAACTTCCGTAGAAGACCTCCGTTATGAATTGCCCTCAGTGAGACTCGATCTCACGACCACAAAGTTAACAGCCTTGCACTCTACCAACTGAAAATTATTTTTCTCAAAATTTTCATTGTTTTTCTCAAACAAGGAAACTTCTTGAAAATTATTTATTGAAATCTACATAAAAATAGTTATGTGGGTGACTTAAGGAATTATAAGTAATTCAATGTTAGAAAAAGAAAGTTTATTATTGATATACATTAATTAGCTTCAATGCTCAACCGACAGGGATCGGTTTAAGTGATAAGCAACTTAATTGATATCGCTTAAGTAATGTCCCGAGTTCGAGTCCTTGTGTATTGAGAGTGTAACTAAAAATTTGATCGACTATCCTAGTGTTAATTTTCATTTAAATTTTGATTATATGAATATATTATGCGGTGTTAAAAGGAAAGATATTACCTTGTAATTAGTTTATACTATTAAAAATATTATAAAACGTGAATATATTAACATATAATCTTGAGGCATGATCCGCTTACATTACGTAAAACTAATAAGTTTTATAATATTTTATAGCTATTAGATTTAACTAAATTATAATATAAAAATATATTTCAACCTACAGTAAAACAATCTCTTCTTTAACCCTAATTTTATATCCTAAACCCTAAACTTCAAAACCCTAAACCCAAACCTCAAGCTCCAAACCTTAAAACTTAAATCTTAAACTCTAATCTTAAAAAATATTATTTTACTGTAAGTTAAAGAAATATTTATTTATGAGTTGTAAATTTTAATTAAATCCAAGCCATTTATTTATTTAGATCTTATGGTTATAAGTTGATATAAAACTTATTCGTTTTACCTAGCGTAGGTGGATCATAACCCTAATTTTACATTTGGTTTTGATATTAAATAAATAAAAAAATTTAGGGTAAAAATAAAGCTGGCCGACCCATGAATAAATTTGACGTGTGTGACGCCTTTATTAAAATTCATGCAACTTGGACAAAGCTTCAGGGTATCCCTTCTTTACAGTTATAGTATTAATCTTCAAACAAGTTCCATACTTCTCCCCTCGCACCGTCCTCTTTCCACTCTCAACAATGTCGAAAACCATGGATTCGGGCGGAACTTCCCCGGAGATCACTCATCCTTTCGCGTGCACTCGGTGTCCGAGAAGATTCACTTCTTGGCACGCCTTAGGAGACCATCAAAACGCTCACAAGAAGGAAAGAAACGAGAAGCAACGGCTATACAACGAGCGACGCCTCGCATTCAAGAAGCAGTCTCCTCCAGTGGTAACTATTCCGCCCGCGGAACCGGTGATCGCGATACTGAATAGTTACTCTCCGGCGGGTAGCAATGGTGGTCCTATGGTGCAGACTGTCACTTGATCCACAACCGCAACCGCAATTTGAATCCCAGGACGAGGTTTCGCGTCGAGAAATCGGAAATTCGCGCAAGGCCGGTAATAGGAAGGGGATGGCGTTGAACTTGTTTGGGCATGAAGGAAGGGAAGATGGTGGTGCTGATGAAAGCAATGCAAAGGAGGAGGAGGACTTGACTTTGAGACTTTGAGGCATTGAGGAAGAAAAAGGAAGGATGCTTAAGGGCATCATAAATGAAAATCTGTTCAATATACAAAAATAAATAAATAAACTAAAATTATATATAAGGAAAAAATTAAACATTTTCAACTTCTTTCTTCTACCTCACACCTAAGTTGTTAATTTTGTAATACAATATGAGGTAATTTACATCATTCTTCACTGAACTATACTCTATCTCCTATTTTATTCATTGTACTTTTAGTTTCTTTTAATTTACTCAATGAACTTTTAAGTTGCTCCTATTTTGACCATTCTGAATTATTTTATTATTATTTTCGTATTACGTTGTATTTTTTTTTTATTATTTAATATAAAATATAAAATAAAAATATAACGTGGTTGGACGGCACTACCAGCCGTTGTCGATCGTCGTAGATTGTGGTCGTTCGGTCTCAAATTTCATGAGTTGATTCACCTAGACACCGTGAGTCCGAATGAACTCTCTATTTAAATGAATGAATCAGGGGATCGAGACAAACCAACCCATAAAATTTGAGACAAAAAGACCACCATCTACGACGGACGACGGTGGTCGATAGTAGCATCCGACCACCTTCTGTTTTTATTTTATATTTTCAATTATTCAATATTAAATAATAATAAAAATGTCATGTCATACCAAAATAATAATAAAATAATTTGAAGTGATTAAAACATGAGCACTTCGAAAATTTAGTGAGTAAATTAAAAAAAATTAAAAATACAATAAGTAAAATAGAAGAGAATGTATAGTTCAGTGAGAAATGATGTAATTTTTCTTATAATATAATGTTAATTGTGTTTCAAATTAGTGTAGGTTTTATCGTGTAAACATAAACACATAAGTAGTGTAGTTTTTATATGTAGTATTTGTTTAAAATTTCTTTTGTTCTAATAATCAAAAGTGACTTTAGTCTACGGTCAGATGAATGAACCGTCAGGATCTTGTATGAGAGTTGAGTTGACTGTCCTAACTATAATTAATTTAATAATATAACAAGACACATACAATATGATAAGCTAGTTTTTTATCCGATTATGTTGTACTCTTTTCTTTCATTTAGAATTAGGAAAGTTTTTAATGAGATTCATAATTCGATATTTAGTGTTATTACCTAAAACATTATTATTTCTACCTAAAACATTATTGAACGCTTTACCAAGCTTGATAATATATCCGGTAAAGCGCTACCTAAAACATTAATTTTTCTACCGGATATATTACTAAACCCGGTAAAGCGCCGAATAATAACATTTCCGGTAGAAATTATAATATTTTCGGTAATTTTTTACCGATTTTATTAAAAAAATAATAACAAAACCGATAATATCTTTCCTTAGCAGTATATTATACTACCGCACGTGAGACTTCCCCAATGCATGGATGAATACTTGTCGGTTGAATTTTTTTATAAAATAATTTCTAATGTGATTAGATTTATATTAAGAAATGGAAAAAAAATCTACTGTAAGTATAGGAATTATTAGAGGTGTTCACTTTTTGATTTTAACCAAATTAATCGATCGAATCGAATTAGTTTGGTTAATTCAGTTGGTCACCGAATTAGTTCGGTTGAGGAACAGTTAATAAAATTTTTAGAATTCAGTTAACGGTTAATTCGATTCGAAATCGGTTAATTAACTGAATTAACCAAAATTAAATTTTAAATATTAAATATATTATATATAACATATGGTCTCAGTCCAAACTATTTAAAACCCAATTAATAATCTAAGATCCAATAACTTTTAAAACTAAATCAATATTAATTAATTAAAAAATTCATAAAATTTTTATTTTATAATTATATATTATTTAAATTAATTGTAAACTGTTTTTTGATTTTAAAAATGTTCAATTTTTTATATAAATTATAAAATTTTAAAAATTTTCAAAAAAAAAATCGGTTCGATTAATGGTTAAAAAAAAGTTCAGTTAATGGTAATTCGGTTCGGTCGACCATCATTTTAACCGAATGAACACTCCTAGGGATTATAAAGACATGAGTCACGTTATTTACATATAATAATATATATAATTTTTTATTATACGATATACTTTTTTTATTAAGCTAAGGTAATTACGAGTAGTATATGTTCTAAATATACTCTTAATCATTTGACAAAGAACACTCAATCATCCTGTTATAGTTAGTGGTACTTGAACTCATGACCTTTAGTAATAACAATAATTCTTTTTTTATCACTGAGATAAATTGGTTCGTAAAATTATGCGATATACTTTATTACCAGGGAGTAGGGGTGGGAATAGGCCAGGCTTTAATAGGCCTGGGCCTGGCCTACACTGATTTGTATTGGCCTGGGCCTGGCCTGTAGCCTGTCAAAGGCTTTTATTTAGGCTTGACCTGGGTCTGTTTAAAAGCCTGACCTGTTTAAAAGCCTGTTTAACAATAAACATTTAATATTTTCAGTTTAACTATTAATTTTAGAGTAAAATCCCTATTAAATCACTCTAACTTAATATATTTTACAAAGTAATCACTCTAAATAGGCTAGCCTATCAAGCTTATAAGGCTTTTTAATAGGCCTAAACCTGACCTGTTTAGTTAAATAGGTTTTTAAAAAGGCTTGGGTCTGACCTGTTTAGTTAAATAGACCAGGTCAGGCTTTATATAGGCCAGACCCAAGCCCCTGGAGGTCGGCCTGGTCTATTCCCACCCCTACCAGGGAGGAAGCAACCAATGAATATATGCTTTTATTTGTCACTTTAGAAAACATATATAGAAGAAGCGTACGGTTTTCATATACCTAGTAATATTTACAATTTTTAAGATGTTCGAAAATATGTGAACCATTATAATTAAGGGTAAATTACAAATTTCGTCACTATTTTTTTCTCTCTCTCTATTTTGTGCACTAAACTTTAAAAATTTCAATTTTTTCACTAAACTTAATAGTTTGAATTTTTTTAATCACTGAACTTTATTCTCTTTCTCTCTCTCTCTCTCTCTCCTATTTTGATCACTCCGCCGTTAGATAATTAACAAAGTTAAAACGACGCCGTTTTAAAAAAATAAAATTTTCACCAAAATAACGTCGTTTTGCATCTATATAACATCTAATTTTAACGCCGTTAACTATTTAAAGGACGAGTGACCAAAAAACCTAATTTATTAAGTTCAATAAAGAAATTGAAACGATTTAAAATACAGTAAAATTCAATTACCAAATTTGTAATTTACCCTTATATATATATATATAATTTGAACAAATTTAACCAAATTAAATCAAATTAACTGATGGAAAACAAAACTAAAGGTTGAGAGCTTCATTGCCTTCAAACTACTAATAATAATGCACAGGGGAAGCGTTTCATATACAATGCCCTAACCAATGGGAACTCAAATAAATTCGAACAAAGATTGAAGTAAAACTCGTGGAATACACAATGCACCCCCGTTTGTAATGCACAACAACATTCTCTGGACGATGCTCTCCCGAGCCATCCCTAACCAAATCCCGACTTATTTCGAACCACATCGACCATCGTTCCTAGACTTACCTCATGTTTCTCTTACGACGATCCCGTAACAACAGTATCCACTCCGTTGGATTTCTTCAATTTGGCAACAAGCATCCACATGTTTGCGAGTTCATTTTCGAGATAAGCTTCTCGTTGCTTCGATTCTTCGACTTTTCTTTGAAGCTCAACCTCTCGTTGATCCCTCTCCATAAGAGCAGCTTCATACGAAAGCTCTCGTTCTTTACTCATGGCCAATTCCTTCTTTAGATCCGAGGGTGATCCAAGTTGGTCATTTCGTTTGGTCAGGCTCTCCCTTCGGCTATTGTTCCGCACTGTACTTGTTCGACGTTGTGTCGGGGAGTTCTTGGCTGCTTCCAGTTCAGAAGCTAGTCTCTCGTTTTGATTCATTAGTTTAGTGACTTCGTCTGACAATGCCTTTAGTTCCACAGCAGCAGCTGAGGCTAGCCCTTTAGCATATGAACTCTCCTCTGCCAGTTTCTGGTTTCGCAGTTCCAACTGCTCTTTCGACTCCGTTAGTTCCACAACTTTCTGCTTCAGTTCTTCAATTTCAACCACCTGATCAAGCAAAGCCAGGAATTTAGATTTAAAATCGACATTCGTGAAAGCGAAATCATTAGAAGGTTAGCACCTAATGAAGTTATATTAAGCAAAGCATACATGCTAATATCACTGTAATGTGTCATCTGGAAGAAAAAAAATAAGGCAATACACGGTACGATATGAACTTGTATATTCGAGATAGCTGGCGTTATCCCAAACGACATACATATGAGACTCGGACTTTGATAATCATAATTAACTAGCTTCTAACAGTCTTCACAAATATAAAGTTGTGACGGAAGTCCCAATGAGCTATGAGAGTATCTCCAGTTTTCATTTTGGCTACACAGAGAAATGTAATCTAAGAAATTAATATCCGGAAATATCGCATTGATCGGAAAGGGGTAGAGCACGGGGACAAGTGCGAATCTGTCTTCACAAATATAAAGTCGTACTAGATTTCCCAATGAACTATGGGATTACCTCTGGTTTTCATTTTGGCGACTCGAACAAATATAAACTAAGAAATTCATATCCAGAATTATTGCAATTACAAGAAAGGGCTAGAGGACAGGGACGAGTGGGAGCGGTTTAACATTGCATGAGTTGGCCTTAAATTAAGGCACCATAGGAGCAATGAAAACATCAAGTATTAAGATATTAGAAGCACCTGTGCTTTGATGAGCAAATCTCCATCATTATCCTTTTTTGATGCTGCGACTTCCTTTTCCATCAGCAGGCCTTTCATTTCTCCGGATTGTTGAGAATCAGGGGCTATAGGACTGACATTTTGCAATTCTAGTGCATCAGAGAGCTGCTGCTTTAAGGAGGTAACTGTTTCTTGCAATCCTTCGCATGCACAAATCTGATAAAAATGTTCGAGTCAGAACAGGCTCTCAGAGGATGAAGTTTTTGAGGCATGAACAAATGAAAAATATATCTACCTTCAGGTTCAGCTGCTCTTGGATTATTCGGTTGTCTGCAGCTTTAACCTGGAAACAATAACTTCATGATAGGATGCTCATAAAAGAAACAGACAATAAAGGGAAAACTGGTAAAAGGCTGGGGAAAGATTTTATAGCATTCTTGGCTTCCTTTTACTACGTCACTGCAGTTCAATTTAAAGACTCCTATACCTGTGAAGGAACTCGTGGTAAACGGACCATGTCCACAGATTTGGTAATGGCATCATACATGGAAACAGAAATTTCCCTTTTTAATACATTTTTTGTTGAATAGATACAGAAAATCGATTACCTCAAGTTCAAAGGATTTCTCATTTAATTGCGCCATCAATTCAGCAATGGACTGTAACATTCAAAGGAAAATAAAAGTGTAAAGATGGAGTTGCAGGAGAGACAAATGGCATACAGAACCAATAATGCAAGCTGAACTTACTTGAGATATTTCCGATTTCTCCATCTTGTCGGGGGAAACCAAGATGGATTCAGCAATTTGCTTTTCTAGTAAAACGATTTGTTCATTCTTTCTCCTTATTTCATCACTCAGCTTTTTCATCTCAACCTTAAATTCAAAAAGGATAGCAAAACTCAGTTTTTAGGAGAGTATAAAGAAAATAAAAAGGATGATATCAAGCCAGAATTTTACCATAATCTGTTGTTCATTCTGGGGGTTTCTTGCTGCTTCCTCAGACAATCGCTTTAGGGCGCTTGAATGAAGTGCTACCTCTCCAGACAAAATCTTCTGCTGCTCCCTTAGTAGATCGATCTGATCAATTGTTTTGATGCTAGCCTGGAACAAATAAGGCATTAAATTCTACTTACTGAACCATGAACAGTACGATTCTAAAGTTGAAAAATAAATGAATAAGGCACAAAGATTCTAAATAGTAGTTACACGACATTCCTGCAATTATACATTTGAAATGTCAAATGAAACTGGAGCACGAAGGAGATAAATTAAAAACTAATACACTTCAAGATATTCTGTAGAACCTAAAATGAAAAAAAGGGGGGAAACATTTGCATAAGAAAATAAAGAAACAATATATGCATACCAAAGGTGTCTCTGGTCCAAGGGAATTGTCCTCCGGATCTTCTCTACCATGTCTAGCATCCAATAGGATATCCATGGCTGGAGAACTTGCTGTAACTATGGATTGGGAAAGCCTAGATTCTGCATTGAAGTTGTTGCTTCCTGCTTGAGGAGTAGAAGGTGTACTATTAGATTTAATGCCACTTGACTTGTCGCTGACACTCGTCAATGTCCCCGTACCATTATCACGTTTCTGGACAAGAATCATAAAATAATTTAAGCCACTAAGGAGGATAAGATCTCAGTATGCTTCAATAAATTGTATTAGTGTAACTGACACCAGCTAGCTTGGTGTCTATGCTTGCATGGGCTTATTTCTTTGCCAATTTTGGGATAAAAGAAAATGACTTTACTACATAGAATTTAGACTGAAAATGCATTTACTACATAGAATCTAGACTAAGTTTCCTGTATCTGTTTTCTTCCAATGCAATACCATACCGAATTGACAATGTTGATTTTTAGGATTCAGGGAAAGATATGGTAATTATTATTCTAGAGCGGTAATTAATGGATGGATTGGTCTCTCAAACTCCAACAATAGAGAAGTGAAAAGCTATTAACTCTACAAAGACGAGGAAAGAGAATATGAACAAAAAAATGTAGCGCATATATAAGAACTGGATTGTCAAATTTGGGTTTTTTATTTTGGTTAAGCTATCATTTTGAGGAAACCTCGTACTTAAACCTCTAATTAATAAACATTTTGTAGTTTCAGAAAACTAATAAAAAATACAGCTCATCTATTTTATAATAATATTCATTAAGTATATAATTCTAGGCTCTCACATCACTTCTTGACGGCCATGGCAATTATAGCAATTCACCTATGATGGATAGGTGAACAACCACTCCAAAATAATGAATAGAAAGCCAACAGTTACCATTACAAACGTAAGACTTTCAGTTTATTTGCTTTGGCGTGTTGAGTAGCTGAAACAAATGTAAGATCAGATGGTGAAAGAAATTTCATCCACTGGTCCATTTTAGCTGTTTAATCGAGACCCACCCCAAAAGTAATATTCTTGATAAAAATAATAATAAACATAGACTACAGGGAAACATAGAGAGCTAAAAGTCCAGAACAAACGTACTCGGAGCTTAAGCCAGTTTAGCAAGCCATGCTTTCGGGCGGTTTTCTCCTCTTTAAGCGTATCATCTCCAGCATTCTCTTCGAGGGAAACATACAACTCAACATTCTCATCATCCAGGATCAAGTCTCGCCTTCTATGTGGTAGATATGCGAGCTGAGCATAAGCATAACTATAATTAGAGAAAATCCAGTCAAACAAAGTGGAATTCTTATTGTGTAAAAACAACTCCGGGCCAGGATAACAGAACAGCAAATATGAAATAATAAGATCAACAATGATACCTCTTCTTCTCCAAATGAATGTCTCCTCCTTGGACCAGGGCGCTGGGGAAATCTTGATGATTGTGAAGCTTTTGTGGAAACAAGAATCAATTTTGTCAATCGCTGTATTCTGCTCAATAAAGCTGCCTTCGCTTCTTCTTCTTGCTCCAACCTTGATTGCAGCTTGACTTGACCATCTTCTAGCTTTAAGATCAGAACAAAGTTGTTGTCAAAGTCAAGATGTGATTCATCTCTCTTTTCCCCTTTGAGATAAAATTAGAAGCTATAATTCAAAAACTATTTGCATCAACTCAATTATCCCGATACCCTGTGACTAAAGTGAGACATGAAAATGAAAAACCGTAAAAATTACAAAAAAATGAAAAAGCAATACAGGGGAGAAGCATTTCAAAACGATACCAAGGATGTCCTTAGCTACACCATACATGTCAAGAATATACCATGTAACTGCTTTTGAGTTGAAATCTAATATAATTCAATCTAAATTAACAGGACAGGTTTCCAAAAGATAGCACCCTTGCTGAATTTGTTAGAGACGATTGTCTCAAAGGTTTCTTTCCCCTAAGATTACTCGTAAGCATCCAAACAAAAATTATCATCTTTGTGTGCAGTATCCAAAGACTGAGAGGATAGGAGGGTTGGCAATAGAAAAGAATTTTTTACATTCTTTAGGATATTATTCTCTCTTTCTCCCACAAGCACATAGAATTAGTACTTTCTTCTAAACATGTCTCTACTCTAACGTCACCAAAAGTTTCAAGAACTATAGAGGCTGAGTTAATAGAATAACCACAAATTGTAGGAAAGCCTGCTGAAGAAAAACAATGCAGTGTAGAGAACCTTTAATTTACTCTGCCAATACCTGCAATTTGTTTCTGAGAAAATAAGGTAATTTGGTTCAGTACATTCTATATGGTTACTACTTGCCATAAGTTACCAAGGGTCCAAAACTATGCATACAGAGCGGGTTCCCAGCTAATGGGTCAAACTACTTTGTGTATCACGAACTGCTTAAAAGGAAAAACATAAATAGGTTAAACCAAAAGATGGATCATTGGATGAATTACTCGATAGAAAATCCTATCCACATGAAGGATACTACTTGGAAGTAAATGGTCAACAGCTTCCAAGCATTGGATAATATTTTACAAGACAGAATCATCCACATTAATGAGCAGAACAAATTGTATTATTATTGGCCAAACTTACTTCAAAACCCACATACTCCATCCCAGAAAATAATATACGGAATCTGTTAAACAGACACAGTACAACCAAAATATGTTTAAACACATTCTACCACAAGTAGTCAGCACTTCTGTCTAATAGCCTACCTCTCTATGAGTTGAAATCACCTAGTCAGAAAGCTGATAAAGATATCAAGATCTATAAATGGAATTTATAAGGTAGCAACATTTCCCAGTAGGCTAGATTCACAATTAGATCAAAATACAATTAAACATTGAAAACTTCAGCTACTGTAGTCAAAGCAGAACAAATGTACCTTCTGCTTTAAGAGTACAATATCATCTTCACTGATATCTGTTAGTTGGGGAATTGTTACGATACCTCGCTTCAATTGTTCTAACTCTTCCTTCAAGGAGCGTATCTCATTTTGGTATTTTTTGATAAGTGATTTCTCATCAATAATCTGCATTTTGACAAAGTAACTTAAAAAACTGAAGAAATTAATATTTAAATAATTATATTTGTGCATTAGCATGTGCACGCATATACATGTTTGCGTGTCTAGCGTGTTATTCACCTACAATGAACAGACACAAATGCACCTGCAAACAACAAAAAAGTATTACAAATCTAAAATAAAAGCATACCTTGTTTTGTGCCGCTTGGATTTCAATGTGTTTAGTACGGTGAGCGAACTTCAGTGTATTGTGCGTCTCTTCTGTGTTACTTGATGATGGAGTGACAGTGCAAATGAGCTGAAATTGTAGACAGAAAATAGAACTAATAAAATGAGACATTACTTTTTAAGAGAAGAATATGACGCCACATTTAAACTTTTTCTATCATCTTTTTGTTGACCTATACATATGAACAGTGCTTTTCGAGAAAGGTACCAATGATGCTTACAGATACACGCCCATGACCACTTAAGGAAGACTGAAGCAGCCTGGTCAGCTTAGAATCCCTATATGGTATATGAGTGGCTTTCCCATCTGTCAGTTTAGATATAACCTACAAAAATGAAGAAGCCATGTTATAAGCAAGGTTTATCCGATAGAAAAGACATTAATAATAGTCCCGACAAATATGTTATGAAAGACCACAGTCATCCTATTGAGAAATATATAGTCTATGGGAAATTACTGCCATCGTATAGAGCATTCGCTGTCACTTGACAGCCTACAGATTCCCAAGCCAGTCCAGAAAGCATTGAAAAACCCAATATGGAAAAGGTTGTTGAAGAAGAGATTAAGGCCCCAGAAAGTAATGGGGCTTGGATTCTTACAGAGCTGCCTATCAGACTATGTTATGTCCCTACTCCAGAAAGTAATGAGACTAATTTAATAGGACGCTACTGTTGTAAACACAGCCTATATTAACCAGGCTGTTTTCTCACAGTATTCAAATGAATAAAAGAGAAACTCTTTTTCACAGAAACTTACAGTTATAAGAATGGAGTATTATCATGTTATCTAAATATTTTATGCAATTAGCATACCTTAAAATGTTATACACCTCAAAGCCACCCTTATCCAAGTAAAAATTCAGAACCGTATAACAATCAACAGAGACTTAGCCCGGTCATTTAGCATTTTCTCTTGGTATTTAATTTACTGGTCATAAAACACCAGAAAACAAAATGATAAGTACTCGACGGCTGATCCTGAGGCATGATTTTATCTGTGTATTGGGTTGAAAGATGTGGTTACTGCAGACTTGTCTTTACAATTTAAAAAACTAATAACTCAGCAAGAATATTTTTAAAGAAGAAAATTTAGATCATGCAACACATTACACTAAAATCAATTAACAGCTAAATTATAAATTAGGGGAAAAGCTTTTGGTGTCTCCCTTTCAATTTAAAGAATATTTTACAGAGGTGGGAATAAATACTAAATAGGGAGTTAGTAAATGCTATATGCTGTTCTCTCCAAGCACTTGTTAATGTTACCACGGAATTTAAATCAACCTAGAGTATACCCAGACATAATGTTCTCACTCACACTCCAGCGATGAACTAACTAATGAACATAATTGCAAACCAAAAACAAGTTAAATTTCCATTATGTGTCAAACAAAAATGGCAAATTTCGACTCACAGTTCCTAGTGTTAGCAAACTTTTGTTGATATAAGATCCCTCTTTCCGTCTGACGCCAGTTGTTTCAGCCTTTGAGCTCTCTGAACCAGCCAGATCAATGAGGTTCTGCATGTATATGTAAAACATGAAAATATGGAAATGTTGAAACATTTTCATCAACAGTCGAAACTAAAAGCATTAGCTCCTTCAAAAACAAGGAAGATGATAAGCATATATAAATAACACACCAATGACCAAATTAAAACAAGGAACTACAAACATTAAAAAAACCTAGTCCAAGACAGTTTGTAGAATTTACCAGCTGTGAGAGATTTACTGCTTCACCTTCACTATTTTCACCACATGGACTGCTCTCTATTGTCTAGACAAGTTGGTTGAAGGAAACAATCAGATGTGGCAGTCAATTTGAGGACATGTAGATAACCATCAACCAATCAAATGGGCCATCCAAAATCAGAACAGAACATGAATAAATATTTGACACGTAACAGAAAATCCATATATCAAAACAGGGAATCAGCATTACCTCACACAAATTCTTAGCATCAGTGAACATATTTTTAGGTTCATGTGGTAAAACTAAAAATGGGGGAATGGGGATCTTCTACAAGAAGCAAAGCAATAGTGCATATACCAGTGTAAATATTGTATGGCTCCTGCTGCTGAGTAAGTTGAAGTTTGTTGACCCTACATGTCTGTGTTCTGTTTAAAAAGAAAGAAACCTAGTCACATAACATTAAAAAAAAATCATTCCTGCTATCAGAAGGAAACCATCACTAGTTCGAAATATTGACAAGGCATGCAACAAAGAGGATAGCCCACACAGAAGCATGTATCTGCACCAACAAATTCATATGCATGAACACCCTCTTTTTTGTCTGCAAACTATTTAATCATTTATTCAACTGAAATATAAATTGATAGTGATAGTTTTGATAACATAACGATTTGAAGCTCGGTTTATAGAAGCTCTCTACAAAATATTTCAATTAAAATTTGGTTAACTCATCTCGTTACTGCAAATCATGTCAGCATGCTTTACCTTCCCCGGCCGCTATAAGAGAAAGGGCATGAGCAGGTGATAGTACAACTTCTTCCTTTATTCCTTCAACAAAGGTTCCCTACATCCATAAACCAAGTGAACAATAAATAAGACACTTTTGAACAAATATGAAACACAAGGCATACCAATGATAAAAACTAAACTGCCTATGCCAATCACTGAAAATATTTCGACTTATATGTTATTAAGCCAAAATAAATGCTTAACCTTTTTAATAATTTTGAACCTAATATTATCTCATAAATATATTCAAGCTCAATTACTGTAATAGAGTTAAAAGATAACTTACCATTTTCTTTCATGGTAGCATTTAACTTAACCTAGTTACAAGGAATGAGTCCTAATCTACGCTGTACATATACCTGTGTACCATCAAATGAGAGAGTTTTCTCTGTGAGATTGGAGCAATGCCATTTTCACGAATAACCATGGCCAGAGATATGCTAATACGTATTTAGTTATACATGTGGTATCTGAGTCATGTTCTCTGGCTTTGTTGTTCAGATTCAAAACATGCTTTATATACATTCCTTGGTGCACAGATTCCTAGCCATGACAAAGAACCACTAAAGAACTTTATAGATGTGTACCGGCTACATATCATTCTAAAATATATGAACATAGGCTCATATACTATTGTTGGCTTTATTTGGATGGTAAACATGATGTTCATGCCAAAAGCTAAACATGAACCTCCAATTAACAAATTTACACATTCACTAAAATCAACATATGCTGATATTAAAGAATTATCTAACCATAGAAGAGGGAAAAAGGCAATGGAAAATAGCATACATCATTTCCAAAGTAGGAAGGTTATAAATAACAAGGATAAAAAAATCAACAGCATAACTGACAAACAAGTACCTGAGGATCTTCTCTAATTCTCAAGTTTTGTCCAGCTGGATTTAGCAAGTCATTAACAACCTGAAATGATAAAATCCTTCAAGAATAATGATATCATATGTTTTCTAGCAAAAATGAAGGCTGTCAAGTAAGAAGAATATGCTAAAACTAAATGGGAAATAGGAAGGTCACCTCATTATAGATCTCCAGGTAAGAAACACGAAGAAGAAACTCCCGGTTCGGTGTCTACAGGTAAGGGGCTCATTATTATCCATAAAAAAGTAAAACAATAAAAAAGTGCATAAGTCAACATCTCATATAAGCACCTCCTGAATAATGCTAAAGGCATCTTTCACCGCCAATGGTATAATTCCAGGGGACCTCTGATTGCCCTGCCATTTCAGCAATCAAGATCAAATTAGCATACTACTATTACTCGTATTTTAAGAAAAGTGTAGGTTACATGGAACCCTAATTCTAGACCAAATCATACCACTATTATATTTGTAGCATATGGAAATTGCTCAATTTTTGTTTAAAAGAAAGCAAGAGGTTCGATCATGAATTTCCATTTGCCTATATATTTGATAGACATGATGATCAACCATATCCCTTATTATCACGTAATTGTTGTCCTTGCTAAAAGCAATATATGTTATATATGTACCCTCAAAGCTGACATACAATGTTTTTGATTAGCAGTTCAAAATGAACTAGGTTCTCTGAAATAGAATTTGCAAAGATAGAACTAAAAGTAGCTAGGCTCAAATGTGGAAGGAAATAAAGTTTATAAAGTGGACAAAGAGGAGGAAATTGATGCTTTAGTTCAAAAATTCGGCTACTTCGAAGCTTGTTCAAGAAGAAAACACAAAAATTAAATAGATTTGACTTGAAGCACGGAGTGATTTTGATACTTGATGTGCTAACTTATAACTTTGAATAACAAGCCCGCAACACTTCAGAATGAACCATGTAACAACGTCTCCAAAAATGAATTTTGCAGAGTTAGAAATAAGCAGTAGCTAGGCACAAATCTAGAAGCAAATCAAATGTATAAGAAATTGATGGACAAAGACCGAGATATCATTGCTTTAGTTAAAAAAGCTAAAGATACTTCAGAGCACATCGAAAAGAAGATGCACAGTTGCATAGATTCAATAGAGCAAACAATTCCAATGCTTGTTGCACCAACTTATAAGAGCAAATAATCATTAACCCAACTCTCGACCTCCCAATCTGACAAGCTTAGAGTAATTAAGAAACTCATTCTTCACCAATACGTAATGGGGGGAAAAATCAAACATTTGGTCTCCATAACACAAATTGAATGACAGCTATAGATGAAATTAAATTAGGAAACACCCTCCTACAATGCACCACATACAAACAAAGAAAAGGAAAAGAAGTAGCAGCTTGCTTCTTACATGCATCGTATGAGTCTTCCCACTACTTGTCACTCCATAAGCAAATATGGTGCCTGTGAACAGAATTTAACACTGTAAGGTAGAAGAACAAGTTTTGAGAAAATACAAATACAACGCCATAACTTTCAATATCAACCCACAATTTCTGATGCAAAACTGTGAGCACTATTCAGAGAAGGCTACCGAGCACTATTCAGAGAAGGCAAGGTAGCTTCTTGCCTGAAACAATAGTTACCAAGGAAGAACAGGATACCTCAGTAACAAATCATTCCAGAAATCTAAGCTGAGTTTTCCTAGAATAAAATGGCCTTTCTACAAAGTGATTATGATGTGGAGTCCTGAAAAGGGACTATCAATTAGATCTCAATCCAGTTCAATGAACACACTAAATAGCAATCACCAACTCAATCTAACTTACTTGAACCCACTCAATCTAACTTATAAGCAAATACACAAGATTAATCCTTGCTCTTAGCAACAAGCCTTGGCAATTTCAACAAATTTTATTATATATCCTTTACATAAAATGAACATTACACAGGTCACAAAGGCAGTAACAGCCTTGTCTGATGCAACTTCTTGTGGATAAATACATTCACGCATTCATAAATCCATCAGCCAATGTTGAATGTAAAAAGCCAAACTATTTAATCTCAAAGTATCCTTAACAATAATCTCAATCCTTATCAACTAGTTTCTTAACTTTCTTTTTGCCCACCATTGACTATTAAAAAGTAATGAATTCCTTTTTCGTTGTCTAGAAATGTAAAAATGTCAATAAGAAAACAAGTTTACTGCATTTTATCGAATGATGTAAGTGCCAATTTTATCTAAAGAATAGGTCTTCACAACATACCATTGATGCCTTCCATGGAACCACTGACAACATGCTGAGCAGCAACATCATAAACATGGCGTGTAGTAGTTGTTGGGCCAAAAACTCGATCTAGAAGCATAAGTAATAACAAATCAATTAAGTGAGATCTAGAATGCTTAAGAAAGTTGGAAAGATAAAGGTGAACTAGATAATATAGACTATTTCAAATGCCTAAAATAAAAATGACAGAGAAAAGCATTATTGTTATTAAATTTCTATAGAACATAAATAGTGAATAGTTCGCAAATTTCATCAAGTACCACAGTGTATTTCACACAGACACAACCCAAATCGGAACTTAAAAAGTTGCTGCACATGAAAAATGACGGCAGAAACATGCTCAACAAGAAAAATGTCAAGCGAATGTTAAACATCAAGAAGAGAAATATTTAATAAGAAACATAAGAATTAGAATCCTCAAAAGCTGGCTTAACCCTAAGGAACAAAAGAAATTAAGGGTTACAAAATACAAACAACCTAAAAACTATCTTCAATATTTCCAAGCTCTTTGGCACTGGAATTACTTCATAATATATTTATTGTAACATTTTCATTAGTTGGTGTATACAAAACATAAATATGAGTAAAATTAAAGGTACCTTCAATCAAATACATAAAGAAGCATGATTTAAATTAGCTATTCAAATTTTTAAAGAAAAATATTACATTTTTCTTGAGAAAATATAAAACTAACCATACGCATATGCTATGGATGGATTATGTTCATTTCTAACAATAGTCTCCCCATCCGCATACCAAGCAATCTCCTCGCCTAGACGAATTTCCCTCGGACTACATCCACAAATGCAATCAAAGCCTTCATCGAAAAATTAAACAAACAAAATACTCAAATCAAGTCAAAAAATAAAAATAATATACCTAAGAGGACGGAACCTAACGGTGACGGTGACATTTTCCTTGGATTGGTCGGCATCCACATGCAAATTCTCAGAGTAAATATACTGCGGCTTGCTTCGAGCTGATGAAGATGCCGGTGAGCTCTGGCAATCGATTGATGTTTCCAGAAATTGTTTAGATGATGAAGTTGTTGAAGATGAAGTTGAATTTATAGCTTTTGAGTTGCTTGAACCAAATTTCTTCAGTTTTGATCCTCTTCTCGACGACATTTTCACCTCACCAAGGAATTCTCGCTTCTACGAACTAGAAACACAAAAAAAGCAACTCGAAATTAGAAAAATAAAATAAAAATGGAGCTAAAAAGATAGAAATTAATTACGGAAATAGTTACATTGTCACAAAATTGATTAACAGAAAATGAAATTTAAAGCAATTTCCACGTTCTCAAGTTTCCTAAAGTAACCAAATCGTTAAAGTAAACAAAAATCAACTTCTGAAGTCAATTTCGTAGACAAATTCAGTTGACTTTTTTACAACTGGAGAAGAAAATAAAATCAACTTCCTCTCATATCCTCAAATTACTCAATCATCTAACACAAAAAGGAAAAGTAAAAAAACATTAAATAAAATATATTTTTTCCTCAAAAAAAAAGTTAACTCATCAATCCAAACAAAATGGCTGTAAGAAAGCTTACCTTTGAGGAATCAGAGAAGCATTGTGGATTAAATTATATAGATCTAGCAGTTAGAGAAGAGAATTGAGAGAAAAAAGAAGGCATTAAGTGCCCTTCTATGTACCAAAAAAACAATAGGGATACAAGAAAAACATCATCATCATCACTCATTCACCCGTACAAGAGAGCAAAAGCAATTTTTAGTATTCCTTTTCACTCAAGAATTTTAATAGGAAGAACAGCCTTTTTTGCTTTCCTTGGAAGCGATGCCATTCATCAAAGCCCAATGGCTTGGATGAAATAATAACTGGGTGGTGAATGATCTGATGTGTAATTTTCGCTTTCGATTGATATTTTTTTAATTTTCTTAATATAAATTACTTATTTAGTCACCAAACTATCACTTTGGTTCGTTTTAGTCACTCAGCTATTATTTTTTTCAAAAGTTATATCTAAAGTTACGTCTTGGTCGCCACCATTAAAAAATTAATTTTAATATTAGTGTGTCATCTTAAGATAATACTATATTATCATTTGAAAAAATAAAAAAAAAATTACCATATCAGTAATTTTGTTTATTTTTAACGGTGGTGGGTAGGGATGGCAATGGTTCAGCTTGGGTCGATTTTTTTCACGACCTGACTCGAAAATATGCATCATTCATCCAACTATGACTCTGCCTAAATTTTTAGAGTATAAATCTGATCCGACCCGGTATAAAATAAAGACTTAATTAAAAATAATATTTTTTAAGGAAATTACTTTATTATCATCGGGTCGAGTTGATTCAGAGTTTTTTCATCATCTACCCAAATCCGACTCAATTTTACTCCCTTAAAAAATTTGACCCGACCCAAACTTGAAACTTTTTTTAAAAAATCAATACTATCGGATCGGGTGAGGTCGCAACCCGCTTCGGGTTAAATTTTCATTCCTAACTGTAGGTAACAAGAATGAAATTAAAATGTAATATTAAATATGATTTTGAAGAAGAAAAAAAAACCAAAGTGACAAGTAGGTTGCTAATACGTGGTTTACACTTTTTTCTTAATAAGACACGATCACTAGCGTCGCGTGAGATTGAGGTAAGTAAGAGGGGGCAAGTGGTGGGGCCCAGTTTTCGCGGTATTACACGTGTCGGAACCTGCGAATTATTTTACTCGGCTGTTTTTTTCTAGATTCACATAGGACAATATTTTCCCTCGCCAAGAAGAAAATGCATGCCGTACTTTTCTCTCTTTATTCATTCCTTTCTTCTTCAATTCTGTAATAATAAGAAATTAAAACAATATTGTTTGAATAAAAATTCAAAAGTCAAACCTCAGAAAATAACTTATAATTCGTTTGACACGTAAGAAATAGGGGTGGGCATGGATCAATTGAGGTCGGATTTTCCGTTAAATATAACCTAAATTTGACTCGACCTGAGTTTAGAGGTGAAAAATAATAGCATATGAGGTAAATTTTTTCTATTCAAAGGTAAATTTTTTTATTTATTAATAAAAAAAATTAACTAACCTTTATTCTCATATGTAATTGGGTAAGGGGAGGTAGGATAGTAGGTTGTCCCCAACGCCAGGTTGAGGGCAGCTTCCGTAAGAGACCTCCTAATTATGAAATGCATTCCGTGGAACTCGATCTCACATCCCCAAGGTTAAGAGCCTTGTGCTCTACCAACTGAGTTGGATGGCATTTTTTTATTTATTAATATGAGGTAAATAAAATATAATGTATATTCAAAGATAATTTTTAATCTTTTGATATTGAATGTTTACATCCCTGATATTCTCGGCGCTTGAATCCGAATTCTTAAGGAATAACAACAATTTTCAATATGTAAGTAAAAGAGAATATATATTCAAAGATTAATTTTCAATCTCTTGGCATTTAACAAAAAATTAGGATGTCATCTAAAAGTTAATTTTTTCTTAATTAATTTGAGGTAAGTAAAAGATATTATATGTTTAAAGATAATTTTCAATCTCTTACATTGAACGCTCACATCATGGCATTCTCGAACCTTAAACTCGAATCCTCAAAGAAATATAATAATTTTTTTATTACGCATGTCACTTGATTCGCGTAAAAGGTTAATTAAATGTTGGTAAATATTTTTTTTTTGATTAGACAATCAACATGATTTAGGTGGTCCAAGATTGTGTGCCACTCCAAGTTGGTCGATGGAGGGTAAAAATCAAATCAAATTTGGCTTGAGCTCTCATATTAGTTTGTTAGAGCACCAATAATCAATTTTTAAGGCATATATGGGTCATATATTTATTATCCCATAAGTAATTACACCATAAGTAATTACCCAACGCTACCATATTTTAATAGCTACCCTTTGTAATAATAAAATAAAAATATTAATTGATCAAGGACGGAGCCATGATTAAATTTTAAGAGGGGTAAGATACTTAATTTCAAATCAATAAGGACTTATTATGTATTTAATCTAAAAATTTAGAGAAGGTAAAAATCTAATATTGCTTAAATTTAAATTAATACACTAAAATGTTATTAAACCAAAAATTTTGGGAGGGACAAGAGCTCCTCCCACTTCCTATATAGCTCCGTCCCGGAAAGTGACCAAAAAAATAGAAGCATTAGATGAGAAGGATTGTACATGCATATTATTAGTTATTGTCTTGTTTAAATATTTAGAGATTGACGTAATATTTTATACTAAGAGAGATGAATTTAAAATTTTAAGAGATGATAAATTTATAAAATTATAAAATAAATGAAAATAAATTATCAACGAAAATACAACAAAAAATCTAAAATATATGATAATTTAAAATTTATCAAATAAACGATTCAATTTGAATACTTGATTAATTTAATTTTTTTGATTCAAAAGTTCAAATGGATATGAAAAATTCAGAGATTATTTTTGTTTTAAAATTTAAATAACTTCAAACACTTTTAGTTTTATTAGAATATTGAGTAAAAGCATCTTATTAGACACAATAATTATTTTTAACGAGTACTTAATTTTTTAATAAAATTGTAAAATAAAAATGTATTGCTAGGATTATATAAAATAAATTGTTGATAGAAAAATAGAAGGATTAATTATAGAATAAGTGTCCAAACTATAGCGATTTTCACGAATAGATGTTTAAACTATTTTTGAATGATTACGGTGTCCAACGTTACAAACATTGCCACTTTAAGTGCTTGGACTGTCAACGGCGTTAATTTCTTCCGTTAAGTGAAATGTGTCACAATCCGGTAATTTTAAAAAATTTATTTAAAAATTAAAAATATATTTAAAAAAAAAACATATAAATTTTGAAATAACCCCAAACTTTGAAAACCTTCACTTCAACCCCTAAATCCATGTTGACCACTGTCATTTGCCGTCAATGAAACTTCATCCGACCTCACCACCCCTGGCAACCAACACCCCTATGAAATCGTGACTAAAAATCGTGATCCCACGCGATTTCGACGACTAATCGACGACAACTATGTCGACTTAAGACTACGAGGGATTACGTCGGCAGAAATGTTGGTGGTCGAAAAGGGCGATGGTTGTGGGTTAGGGTTAGGATTTGGGGATTTTGGTGCTTTTTTATCATTTAAGAGAAATTATGGTTTTTTTATAAATGTAATAATATTTTTAATATTTATTTAAAAAATAAATTTCAAAATTACTAGATTGTGACATGTGTCAGTTAACAGAAGAAGTTAACGTTGTTAGCGGCTCGGGCTCCTAAAGTGATAACGTTCGTAATATTAAACACCAAGATAATTAAAAAAATACTAATTTGAACGTGTTAAAAGAAAAAATGAAAGGTGAGATACTAATAATTTAAATACTAAACGTGTTAAATTTTAAACGACGATTAATAAAATGCAATGAAAACTAAATATTACTTACGTTTAAAAGAAAAAATGAGAGGTGAGATACTAATTTGGATACTACACGTACAGTTACCCTAACAGTTAAGTTGTGTGACGTAGCTTTATACCAGTCAAGCCGTACACGCTTCAATCGCTGTCCCACTTCTCACGCCCTCCGTTTTCATTTCGTCTTCGTGATAGACCCAAGAAATTGGAGTGTAGTGAAAAAGAAAAAAAAAAGAAGGAGAAATTAGAACCTCCCAAAAAAAAATAATCTAAATCCAAACTACGGTTAGGGTTAGCCCTAATCTGGATAACGGCTCCATATTTCCAACTGAAAATTGAAGATGGGCGCTAATTCGTCACCAACAGACTCGACCACCGATCTCGATGAGCAGATCTCGCAGCTGATGCAGTGTAAGCCACTTTCCGAACAGCAGGTACCTTATCTTTTCGCGATCTGTTCATTTTTCAACGAACTACCTAAATTTACGAGGAATCAATTCAATGATATAGTTTTTTTTATTTGCGAATGTATTATTATTGCAATATTTAGTGCTGATTCGTTTTGTTGTTTAAATTGTGTTAAAGGATAAAAAATGCATCCGTTTTCCCCTTCTTAAAAGCAGGAAAAAATGATTTTGTTTTGTTGGTGTATGTAATTTCGAAATAACTCGGGGTATTTGCTCGAAAATTGTTGTGTTTTTAGGTTTTCAACTGCTGTTGCTACTAGTGTTTAATTCTTTCCGTCTTAATTGCGTTGTTCTGATTTGGGTCAATGGCAGCACTTCCCAAGTACAAAACGAGCATTATTTGTTTTTAAATCTTATGTCAAGCAGTCTAAAACTAGGAATTGGTTGTACGTTATGATTCAGAGGTACTCTAGTCCTCCTTCCTATGTCCTTCATGTTACTTATATAACATGTAGGACATGAAGGGGGTCTCTATTGAGGCCTTTCTTTTATCAAAAAAAAAAGTACAATGGCCTATTAAGTGTTTAAACTCAAATTTTGGGGGGCTCAAGGGTTAATTTGTCTAATATTTAAACTTACAGGACCTAATTTAAAAATTGTTTTATGTTTTTTTTTGGGGGGGGGGAGCCCCTTCTGCTCATGCTTTGGTTCCGCCACTGGCTCTTCCTTGTTTTGTCTTCCTGAATTTACCTTTAAGTAACTGCATTTGTTTCATATTCTCTTGTGTAGGTCAGAGCATTATGCGACAAGGCAAAGGAAATACTAATGAAAGAAAGCAATGTCCAGGTTTATTATCTTAGTCTTGCTCATGTTTCAGGCTTCTTGATCTATACTTATTTATCTATCAGTGAATTTTGGAGATGATGACATTACTCCTCGAACTGGGAAAACATTGATTTGGTTTCTTTTGAATTACAGCCTGTGAGAAGTCCTGTGACAATTTGTGGTGATATTCATGGACAATTCCATGATCTTGCTGAACTTTTTCGAATTGGAGGGAAGGTATTTGTTCTGAATGTGACTTTTCTATTTTGTATTCAGTTTTGTTTCAGCCAAGGGAATGTGTAAAATAATCAGTTGAGATCTCAATGTTTTGAAGATTGGAGCTCTCTAGAGGTGTATTAATTTATCAAATGTTCAGTGCGGATATTTTTAATTTATTCTCTTTTAAATGCATAAGACGTGAGCTTTTCCGGTCCACTCTCCAGCACTTTCTTGCGTAAGGGGTCTATTTTGATATAATTTTTCTACTTGATCTTTTACCTCTTTTAGCCATTAGAAAGTGCTGTATCAGCATCATTCATGTGTTCTTAGGGTGTTTTCAATTTATTATATGCTTTTCTCCTCATCCGATTGACAGTGTCCAGATACAAATTACTTGTTTATGGGAGATTATGTTGATCGTGGATACTATTCTGTCGAAACTGTCACGGTATGTACGTTTAATTCCATTTTCTACCCTTGTCATGAAATTTTTCTTTAAGTTTCTGTTTAAGTATGGTCTAGAGGCAGAAATAACATATGTAGATAAAAATTCCAAGGGTTCTGAGTGCTAGCTCTTTATATGGAACTTGAACTCAAACTCCTATAATCACCTGTAGATAACACCTGGCTTGGTTTGATCTCAAAAGACTTTGACTCTATGAATTTGAGAAGCCTTCTCCTTTTTGAAGATTTAAGTTGGGGCAAATAATTCTGGTTAAATAGATGGTGAGCTCTTTATATTTTTGTTTGGATAAGAGTTTTGGATCTATAGTTACGGCATGATCTCCGATGTGCCACTTTTGGTCTCTATCTTGAAGCACTTCAAATTCAATGTAGTTCAGGAGGAACGTGTCGGGGAGCATTTTTGTAGCAAGTTATCATTATTTCCACTTCAATTACAATATACTGCATGCTAGAACTGTAGTCAAATGATGTTGCCTACTCAATGTTGTCAAGGATGGTAGGCGCACTCAAAGAGAATAATAATTTTAAAACAAAATATTTGTCTGAGTTTGAGCTTTCGTTGTTGAAGTTTTAAGTTTTGATGACTAGTGGATTTATAATTAATAAAATAAATGATCCTTTAGAAGAAGGTGGGCATAATGGTATTCAAGTTTTTTTTAAGTTACATGTATGTTTCAGTGAGGAACCAGTTTTTAATATAAAAATAGGAGTTTAAAAGTTGATAAAACATCACAATTCACCACTTCAATGAAGCTTAATTGAAAAAGAGAAATAAGAAATTTTGATTAAAGAAAAAAAGAAAAAGAGAATTAAGAAAGTCTTATTAAAAAAGGAAATAAGAAAGAAAGAAAGAGGGAGGGAGGGAGGGGGAGAGAGAGAGAGCAAACTTTAAATCAATTTTTTCAAGCTTGCCCCCCCCCCCCACCCCCACCGGCAAACATGAATATACCATGTTCTTCAAAGACAGTTCTGGATTTGTTAGCATAATGTTTGTAAGTAGAGATAAACAAGAGATCAATAGCAAACTTAAGTCATTCATACTTTTCATTTGAATGTTACTGTTTTTTGTTCTTTCAGCTGCTGGTATCTTTAAAAGTTCGTTATCCACAGCGGATTACCATTCTCAGAGGAAACCATGAAAGCCGCCAGGTATGAAATTTGCCCCTTTTTCCGAGCCTTCCCTTCTTGCCAAATAGGTGCTCACGTGCAAAATTTTGGCATTTTATGGTGTTATATTCTGCAATTTCCATGTCTGGGTCTTAATTTATAGATTTTGATATGAATTCTTGAATCTTGATCATTTATCATTGTGAATGTCAAGGTAATTCTTGAGTCATTTCTTTTCTTTTGGCAGATCACTCAAGTTTATGGGTTTTATGATGAATGTCTTCGGAAGTAAGTTCAATACTCAACATCATTTAAAAGGCTTTAGTACTATGAGCCATCCATGTTCTAGATGTACTAAATGTCTTCTTATTCTTTTCAATGATATTTTTATGTTTCTCTTTTTTCCATATAGGAAAAAAAGTGCTATTGTATTTTTAATCAATATGATGTACTAGATTTCAGTATCTGGAGGTATACTCCTCAGATAAATTACAGTTATGTGGAAGCAAAGTAGTTGCTATTTCCTTATGCAAATCAATGATAATACACTTTCTGGTGATTTACTTGCAGGTATGGCAATGCTAACGTTTGGAAGATTTTTACAGACCTTTTTGACTATTTTCCATTGACTGCTTTGGTGAGTAGAACTAGTACAAGGTGCATGCTAATTTTTATTTAAGTAATTGCACTACGGGTTCAAGGAAAGAAACTAAGGACACACATGTTAGCTTTAGACTTGGTGTTAATCTGGTATTTACGTTTTGGTGGGCTTCTATTTTATTTGTGCTTTGCAGTCTACTACTAGTGTTGTCCTCCATACATTGTATTGTTGTTTTAGTGTTTTATTTTTAATTTAAAATTTACCCCTATTTGAATTTTATGGTTATTGGGCTAGAAAATGTTTGGATTTATGCTTTCTACCATCTCACAGTAATGCATATTCGGACAATTCTAAGAAATTAAAAATTTCTTGGTTACTAACCTTCAAAAGGTACCATCGATTTTTCTAGAATGTCTGAAGCAATTGACTTTTTCTTGTAATTATGTTTAAGCTAGATTAAAGACAGCTGAAACTTTTAATAAATATGGCTTTCAGTGCACTAGAAGATTATTTGTTTAACGATTAATGTCAACTCAAGATAACCAAATTTATTGCTATATTTGTTTAGTCCCTGTTTTTAGAGTTGTATGGCCGTGGAAATGATGGTAGATAAAATGGTTTGATACTTCCCTTCGCTGATGTAATGCCGATATCTTCATTCTAGGTGGAGTCAGAAATATTTTGTCTGCATGGCGGATTGTCCCTTCAATTGAAACCCTGGATAATATAAGGAACTTTGACCGTGTTCAAGAGGTTCCTCATGAAGGGCCCATGTGTGATTTATTGTGGTCTGACCAGATGATAGATGTGGTTGGGGTATTTCTCCACGTGGTGCTGGATATACTTTTGGTCAGGTAACTAATATGCAGAATGATTGTTCTCTGACGTTTTTGTGGTTTCCTTACCTTTAATTTTTGTTCTTTAATGTCAAAATGTTGCATTTTTCTGCAGGATATATCTGAACAATTCAATCACACAAACAGCTTGAATTTGATTGCTAGAGCTCATCAGCTGGTTATGGATGGATTTAACTGGGCACATGTAATCATTTTTCTCAAAGTTCAATTATTTTTTGCTTGTATGCTCTGTATGAATTGTTTCGGGTCTTTGAATCCACAATTATTTCCTTGGAACAGGAACAAAAGGTGGTTACTATATTTAGTGCGCCTAATTATTGTTATCGTTGTGGAAACATGGCTTCTATCTTGGAAGTTGATGATTGCAAGAATCATACATTCATCCAGGTCTTCTTCTCTCATCTATACCCCTGTTTTTTTTTTTTTCTTCTCTCTTTAATCTTTTCCACTCCATGCATGCACTTTTGTATACCAATAAAATCATTAGGCGTGTTTGTAAAATCATTAAGTTAGTCTTCCTGCAGTTTGAGCCAGCACCAAGGAGGGGAGAACCTGATGTCACGCGTAGAACACCGGATTACTTCCTCTGAAGCAGCTACATGCCATAACTGATTCAAGAATTCGGGTGTTCTTCCTCTCTTCCCTCCCCTGACTTCAGGTAGGTGCGGATCCTTTGCAGATTTCCGTTGCATCTACTACCTGCCACTTATTATTACGTGTCAGTTTTTAAATGATGGCGATCACCAAAAACATGTATGCTAGCTATGACGATAGTGTTTAATCTATCTTACTCTTGGATATTCTGTCGAAGTGATTGCATAGCTGATGAAAGACTGATAATATCAGAATGTATTGGTTATGTATATTTATTTATTTTTATTTCTGTTTTCCTTTTTGTTCTTGTGGTTCATCGTATCGGAGATAGAAATGTTAAATAATTATGTTTTGTCCCATCAGAAGCCTAATATATTATATATGGAAGTAATTCAGGTGTTGAGCTGCCAATTGTTGTCATTTGAGTTGAAAAAGGGCAGCTGGGGTGGAATACCCTGTAAGTGAGTTCCTTTATAATGTCAGTTTTATCAGTTTTATTTCTTCAGTTCAGCAGCGGATGCAAGAAGACTTGATCACCCTGAAATCCAAATTTTTTTCCGGTTATTTATTCATTTTATTGGTGTTCCCATCTTGAAATTTCATTTGTGTTTGCCCACGAGCAAAAATTGTGTTATTAATGTGTGTCTACCCTAAAAAATATTTCTGGGCCTGCCGTTTCAGTTCAAACTTCGAGTTAACAATGCGTCCTGGTAATTTGAGTATTTGTGGCGTGTCTGGGCTTTTTCATGTTATCTATTTTATGTATATAAAAATTTGTTACAAGGTTTTTGACATTTTTCTATATTCTTGGCGTGACTGAAATTATGTAGAATTCAGACTATTAAAGTCTTGGAATTAGGGGTGTAAACGAGCCGAGTCGAGCTCGAGTAGTGCTGAGCTCGACTATTACTCGAGCTTGACTCGGCTCGAAAACTCTAAAATGAAGTTCGACTCGAAAACTCGCGAGTTAAAATTTTCAAACTCGAATCGAACTCGAAATTTCGAATTGAAGCTCGTGAGCAGTTCAAAAAGGCTTGAAATGAAGAAAAATATTCTTAAACTCAACTCGATTGAAGCTTCAAATTCAAACTCGAACTTAAACTTTAAATACATAAAAATCTTATTGTATTTTAAAAAAAATTTATACATAAATGTTAATATTATTAATAATTTTTTTTTAAAAATAAAATCTTAATATATTATATTTTCGAGTTGTTCACGAGCTTTTCGAGTCGAATATTAAGTACTTTGTTTCGGCTCGTTAAGAACTCGAATCGAGTTCTAGCTCATATCGAGTTCATTCGATCCGAATATTTATCGAGCTTTGATCGAGTTGATCTTGAGTAGCTCGTAATCTGTCTCGTCTCATTTCCGGCCCTTGAATGTTTTATAATGCCATCTTAGTTGTTCAGGTTGTTAATTGGTGAAACTTGAGTTGTAATGTTGTAAATATTTGGTTTAATACAAAAATAAGTTCTTAAATTATATCTAAAATTGACTTTTGGTGCTTCAAGATTTTTTTATTAAAAAATGTATAATTTTTTTTTGTTATATTTTTAGATGTCTACCGTTAAGAAAAAGGTTAAGTGGTACGTGTTGCGTTTATATTAATTTATTTATTTAAAATTAAAATATTATTTAAATATATATATATATATATAATATGAATGTAATATATATATTTTAATTATAGGCATCTAAAAGTATAACGAGAAAATATTAGATACTTTTAACAAAAAAAAAATTCGGTATAAAAAAAAATTGAATATAGTTTGGCTAAATATTCAGCTATTTGGATGTTCAATCACTCTGAATTTAAGAGATCACATTGTGAAAAATGATCAAAATACGTTAAACACAGGGATTATATTGCAATACATGGCATTTAAAGGACTTATTTTCACTTTTTTCTTCTGAAAATGGACATGTGGGTTTCAAAATCCACCTTCGATTTCGAGACTAAGATGTAAGTTTCGAAACTTACATGTTTATTTCGAAATCCAAATAGGAATATAAGGGTCCGTTTAGTTATATGAAATACCGACTATTTTCATTTTTACTCTCAGAAATTTTGAAGTAAACATTTGGTTGAAATATCAGAAAATGAATTTTGAAAAATAAAAACAAAATCAATGTAATCTCTGAATTTTTTAGTGATCCTTAAACTGATTTTTTTAATTATTTTATTTTTACATTTAATGTATTAAATATCTTAATAATTGTTTATATTTAATATTTTAAATTTAAATAATATCTAAAAGATTGAATAAATTCTCAAGCTTTATAAAAAAATCAATTATGCGCCTGAATTCAGTCAAAAATCCAATTGAACTCATCTACAACACCATCGTGCATCGTGTACTGTCACAAACTGTCATATCAACATTGTATATTATCTATTATTTATATATACTCGATGGATATGAGAACAAAGAGGCTAAAGTAGCATGAAATTATCCAAACAGAAACATAAATTAAAAGTTACAGACCTGACACGTCAATCAAGACGGTGGAGCGAGGTTGGAGTCGAGCTTAGCAGCTTCAAGATCAGCAGCTTTCTTGAGGAAACTTCGGTCATCATCCTCTAGAACCATCTGGATAGGGCAAGATCCCAATCCTTGCGGAGCTCAGATCTGGAGAGGACGCCGTCATTGTTGAGGTCCAGAGCGGCGAAACGCTCATCCACGCTCTTCTTGAACTGCTCCTCGTCTGTCACAAACGCTCTCACCGTCGATGATTACCACGCCCATTTCCTTTCTTTTGCCCCTTTTTTCTGTGGACTGTGACGAGACTGAAAATTCTTTAGATAAAAGAGGAAACTTTATATTTTCGTGATGGAAATCTTCTGAAGTGAACGTCAGAAAACTGTGGGCACGCAAACCGGTTGTTAATGGTAGTATAATAGTTGGGTAAATTACAAATTTAGTATCTAAACTATCACTTTTGTTCTGTTTTAGTATCTAAATTTTCATTCTTTTCAAAATTTATATTTAACGTTTACTTTTTGCTTTATTTCAGTATAATGACGTTAAAAATTTAGGTACTAAATTGAAGTAAAAAGTTAATTTTGGATATTAAAATGAAATAAAAAATTAATATTAGGTACTAAAATGAAATAAAAAGTAAATATTAGGTATAATTTTAAAAAATTATAAGTTTGATACTAAAACAAAATAAATGTAATTATTTAAGTACTGAACATGTGGTTTGCCCTAGTATTTTTTTTACCTTTTCTTTTCACCTTTTTGGTAATTTTTTTAATAATGCTCTAAACAAAATTGGCAATATAAAAGGTAAAATCAGATAAATAATACATGCAAAATAATTAATTAGCAAAATATAATATTTTTAAGTATATTTTGGGATTTATAATATTTATTATAGTATTTTAAAACTCGTTACATGGACATGTAGAATTTTAATAAAATATATATTTTTCATTATGTTTATAAATGAACCGAGCAAACAAGAACGATGGTATGTTCATGTTTGTTCGTTTAACTTTAACTGAACAAATGAAAGAACACGAACATAAACAAAATAAAAATTTATTGTTTGTGTTCGTTCATTAAGAAATGTAGCTTGTTC